CGGTTGAGGAATTGACGGCGCCATATGTCTCGATCTTTGCAGGGAGCCGGGGAGCTCGCGGCGTCTGCGCGCCCCCCCGCGGGGCTTACTGCGATCAGAAACTCTTCGGCGACGCACACAATTACGCAGAGTTCCTGGGGAAGCTCTACGCCCGCGGGGTGGGCATCTTCTCAGAGGCAGCGGGCGTCAAGGGATCTGCGGGCTTGCCCTTCGCCCCCCAGGAAAATGGGAACCAGCGCAACATAACGCACGCATCGCGAAATATTACTTTCAGCCTCCACCCAGCACGAGGCCCCCAACCGCGCCGGCCAGGAGCTCACTGGAGGTGCCCGAGTCGGGCGCCTACATCGCCACCGCCGACTTGGAGTGCGCCTTTACCGCATGCGGCTGCCCGACGGCAAAGCAGATTATTCCATTATCCCCACCATCGGCGCGACTTCCTTGAAGGATGTTGGCATGACGGACCTCGCTTTCGAGCCAGGGCAGATGGTGGCTGCAAAAGTTGTGGCGTTGCCGATGGGCTTCTCGGAGACCCCCCACATGCGCCGAGAGGTCTCATCGACTTGCTTGCTTCGCAGTGGCGTCGACCCGTCCAGCGCCATCGTTGACGGGCATGTCGGCATCCGCTCAGGCCCGACACGGCCAGTCGCCGCTGGTGCCTATGTGGACAACGTCATCGCCGTGGGCGCGATGCCGAAGGCCGCCAACGACGTGGCCTATAGTTGGTGGCGAGCCTCATGGGCGCTGGTTTGGTGGTCCACGAGGTTTGCGTGGCCTCTGCCAATATGTCGAGTTTCTCGGGCCGCAGCTGCACGACGGCGTCGCGCTCGCCATCCGGGCGCGGAACGTCTGGAGGTTGCCGCAGCCTTGCCGCGGAGGAGGTGGACCACTGGCTTTGCGCCGAGGGCTGCGCTGGGTCACATCACCTAAATCACAGTGATCCGCAGAGAGGCTCCGACGATGCTACACGCCTGCTACGCCTTTGTCGAGACTTTCGGCATCCGCGCGGGGCGCCCGTGGGGCACCGCCGCCCGTGAGCTCGAGTTGGTCCGCGGCCTGCCACCGGCGCCGCAGCTCGACATCGCCGCAGGGTGGCACGGCGCGGCCGCGCGCTGCGACGCAGCGCCCAGCGGGCCCGGCGTGGCTCGGAGGCGTCTGCCCCCCGACCAGGTGGCGGACTGCGGCCGCTCTTCGGGGCGCGGGCATTCCAAAGTCGCCGGCGGGCAGGCAGCCCGCGCGCGGTCGCTTGCCGCGGGGTCCGTGAAAAACGAGGAGACCCGTGAACCCCGCAGAGCCCAGGACGCCCTCATCCCTCGGGTTCTTTTTGCACCAGGCGCGGCCCTTGCGAGGGCCAGACAGGTTCCCATCCGGTTGGACCTCCAGCTCCCCGTCGGCCAGCACCCCTCAGGCGCGATGTCTCTGGCGGGCGTCTCGGAGGCTTCAGGCGCGGACGGGCTCGAGCACTATCTCGACGGGGCCCTCATGAACTCGAATGGCTTCAACGTTAGCGTCGACGAGGTGCCCTCAGCGACAACTGACAGCCCCAGGTGGAGGCCCACGGCGGCCGTTAGGGTCTCGGGTAGGGTGAACATCCTGTTCCCGGAGGGGGAGGCCCTCTGCTTGACGTATCGTCATCTTCTTCGGGGCTCAGGCATTGCAGGGCGACGTCTCTTGGTGTTGATCGATCATGTGCCGTTGGCTCTCGGTGCGGCCAAAGGGAGGGCGCAGAGCCAGCACCTGCGGCGTTGTATTGGTCGGATATGTGCGTTCTCGGTTGCTTCAGACTCGAGGCTCCACGCGCGCTCGGTGGCATCCGAGCGGAGCCATTCCGACGCCGTCAGCCGGGGCCGACAGTTGTTTCAGCAACCAGCGGGAGCTGCGGGGGCCATTGCCGAGGCCTGCTGGCCGCCCCGGCGGCGGCAGGCATGCTGCGCCCCAGCGGCGCAGCAGCGGCGCGGGGCTCGCGCGTGCCGAGCCCCGCGGCGGCGGCGACCCAGAGGCGGAGGCTGGCGCAGCTGGCGATCGTAGAGAGGCCGACCCTGAACGGGCTCACCCTGCTGGAGACTCGCGCCATTCGCTCCAACACCGAGCGGAGCTACCGCCATCTTCTACGGACCTCCGTCGATAGGTGATCTCACCACCACCAGGACTGGTGCGCTTTCGAGGAGCTCGACGCGGTGCTGGCCCAGTACTTCTCGGACCGCTTCGAGATGGGGACCGCGCGCATCATCGGGTCGCAGACGCTAGCGGCCATCGCGCACGTAACGCCCTCGATGTTCGAGAAGGCGGTGGCGCTCCTCCCTCGAGCCTCGGGCGTCGGCTGCCTGGAAGAGGCGAGCGCCCGGCAAGGCGCGGCTGCCTCTGCCGCGGACAGCGGCGCACGCAGTCGCGGGGTGGCTGATCAGCCACGGGCAGCTCGGCATGGCATGCTGGATCGTGATCGCCGGCCTACCTGAGGCCGGCCGAGGCCCGGGGCTTGACGCGCCAGAGCCTGGTGCCTCCGACGACATAGGCGGGCGTGAGCTACTCGAGCTGGGGCCTCCTGCTGCGCCCCACCGATAGAGGCGGCGCATGGAAGATTGGCCAGTACGACGACGGCGCGATGCTGGACCAGTCGGAGCTGTGGCCTGCCTTGACTGCCCTGCGCCAGGCCTCCGCGCCGGGCGCGTCGCTCTGGGCCTTTTCCCTGGAGGACATCGCGGCGCAGTTCAGGATCGCCTGCCGCGCGCTGAGCCTGAGGGCGCTGCGGCCGCGCCGTATTGCCCGCGGCGTGGCGGGGCGCCCAGCGACCTGCTGGCTGGCCGTCGCAGCCCAGTCGAGATGCAGCGCCGCGGAGGGTGGGCCGCCCCCTCGTCGATGCGGTGCCACGGCAAGGAAAGCGCCCTGCTCGACGAGTTAGCCAGGACGAACGCCACGGTTTTCACCTTCGGCGCCCTAGTCGAAGCGAACTTGGTGACGCTACTCGAGCACGGCTTCGACAGATCGGGCCTCCTGGCTCGGGCGCCAGCCCCCGGCGCTCCGCGCGCTGGGCCCCGCTCCGCCTGCAGCGGGCAGGAGGGCGCCGAGGCGGTCGTCCGCGCGCCGACGATCGGCCCCGCTGGGCTGGCCGACGGCCGACGCGCCCGCAGCTGCTGACGACGATCTGCGCGGGCGGCTCAAGGCTGCCTTCCGCGGGCGGCGGCTGCGGCGCGTGGTGCTGGAGCTCTTCGCCTGCGCAGGTCGCTTGACGGCAGTGGCGAAGCGGCGGGCGCTGGCGGGTTTGGATCTCGATCTCACCGAAGACCACCTGCGCGCTGCCTTGCTGCATGCCCTCAAGGGGCGGCCGGGCGCCCGCGTCGCAGGCGCAGTCTGGCTGGGAACGCCCTGCAAGACTTGGACTCAGGCCCCGAGGGGCCCCCTCCGAACGCGGGCCCGCCCGATGGGCCGCATGGGGACTGTTCCCGCGCGAGGCGGCAAAGTTGCGCATCGGCAAAAGATCTTTCTATGTGAGTTGCGACATCATTGATGTGCGACTTGAGTTTCGAATTCCAGTATTCATAGAGAAGAACCCTGCGGGATCGTTGTTGTGACACGCCAGGCGCATGAGACGATTGCGAAAGGCATCCTCGGCTCAGTTTGTTACTTTCGATGGCTGCCCGTTTGGAACTCCGCGGCGGAAGCGAACCTTAGTCGCGGCTTGGAACGCAGTCAGTCTTCAGTCCCTGAACAAGCGCTGCAGCGGCCGTCGCGGAATTTGCTCCAGGACGCAAAGGCCGCATACTATCCTCACTGGCCATTGCGACGGTGTTCATGTAACCGCTCAGGCTGCCGCCTATCCGCCTCGTCTCTGCAATGACCTGGTTCGTCTCACTGAGCAATCGATGCTTAGTCGCGCTCATATGTATATGAGCGACATATGTTGTCTTTCCCGTTTGGGCGTTTGGGATTCCGCGCGCGCCGCCGCCGCCTCGCCCGTCTGCGCCGTCGCTTCGAAGCCGACCTTTCGCTATCGAGCGCCTGGCTCTTATCCTGCGCGAGACCCTCGGAAAACTGGGGTTTCGGGACCCCGCGGCCCACCGAAATCGGCCCAGCACGGTGAGCCAGGATTCCAGGAACCCCATCGACCCACGAAATCGGGCCCAGTAGTTGCGTGGAGTATTCAATCAATTCCCACAAATACCCGTTTTCTCTGTGCAAGCAGTGAAGTGGAGAACGTTGATCAGCGCGTGGCTCTCGATTGCGCGTCGCAGACATTCGCTTTACATGCTTCCAACAGCTGCACGGATGGAGGGCGGGCCGGTTTTTTCAACGTGCGGCGCCTATCTTTGCAACGCAGTAATTATTGCGCCGCGCGCATTCGTTGCACGCGGTCGCTTAAGGCTTTCAAGTAATACGGAACATAACGAGTTGATCGTAATACAACATATTCACACGGATGGTGGGTAGTTGGTATCATGTGTCGGGCCATCGTTTGAAATTGCCCCAGGAATTATGATTACAACTTGAAATCACCTGCGCAGTAGTGATTTACACAAGTGGATGGTGGCTTTTGTTTAACATGTGGTCGTCGTTGGATTTGTCCTTGTAGTTCGCCGGGTTGCTTTTTCGGTATCACTACGGATCAAAGTGTTGAGCGCTGATATTTTTCCGAGGAGGGTTTTCGATTGACTAGCAGGCCCATGGGGCGCTCGTTTTTAGAGGGATGTTTCACATTCTGAGAACCTATCTGAAATCAGAATTTGGGACGGTATGATGCATTGCAGCATCTCTAATGCATCCTGCATTGGCTTTGCTCCTCTTCCCCGTCCCTTTTGCCCTTTCCGCCCTGCTTCCTCTCTTCCGTCACCTTCCCCCCTTCCCCTCCTCCATTCACTCTCCCTCCCCCGCGCCCTTCCCTCGCCATCCCTTCTCCATCCCTCCCGCCCGCCCCACCTTTTTCATTGCGCTGTTCCTCTCGCCCGCCCCCTCCCTTTCTCCGGGATGGGCGAAGTCGTGGGCACTTGCGCTCGCCTGTGTGGCAGGCCGCGATGCGAGTGGCAGGCCGCCCCGGCGCTTCCTTCGTGGCCGCGCCCCCCCAGCCGATGGCCGCTCCAGTCCAGGCGGCACAGGCGCAGATGACAAACGCACTACCTCCTTCACTCCCTTTCTTGTCCCTGGCCTCGTCATCCAGCGCTCCTGCTCTTCCCCGTCGCCCCTGCCCCCGCCCTCCCCTCGTTCTCCCCTCTTCCCCCATACTGCCACACTCCCCACGTCTCCTCCCCAAAGCCACTCCAAAGTGAATTTTTGTTTCAGGTGCAGCTGGCTGGCACGCAGACGGCTGGGTCCGCGGTCGTCCGGGGGACCTCCAACATGGCTCCCATGATGCAGATGCAACAATCACCGCACATGCCGTGCAGGTGAGCCGCGCCCGCGGAGGTGTCCCAAGCGCGAGATCAGCGCTGGCGTTCCAGAGAGAGGGACGTATACCGACAGGGAGGGGCTTTGCGGGTTCAGGACGTGACCGACGTTGTCGCCTGCAGGGCACACGGACATATTGTGAGGCCAGGAAGAATCGGGACTACGAATTTGGCTTCTTGGGGCCAGCTAGATGGGGCCGCGTGGCATCGGGGACCGCTTGTCGCGTCTGCGGCTCCCCGCCCAGCCCATGCTTGCTAATGGCGATATCGCGCTCTTGCAAATTAGTCCCCGCCGTGCAGCCTTGTCCAGCGTTGGCCGCCAAAATCGATGTTTCGTCTCCGACGGCCTTTTCGCCGCTGTCGTGCACGCCATCTTGCGCGCGTGCTGTCAATGAGATATGTTTTGTTCAAAGACAAAGTCTGCGGTGACCCCTCTAAGTGCTCTTACCAATGTGACACCCTCGTCCCAAACGTACCAACTCTTTCCAAGGTGTACCCGAACTTGGCCACTTGAGCACGCTGAGTATGGAGCTTCTTGAGAATGGGGTATGAGCAATCCTTATGAGGTCTGAAGTATTGTACAAAAAGGTGTTCTGGGAATCCTGGAAGATTCTTAGGACTCCAGAGGTGTTCCGAGTTCTCCAGAGGATTTCGGGGGATCCCCCTGGATTCGAATAAATTGCCAAAGTTGATGAGTGTTTGTGGTGCTTTTGCTTCTATGGAGGCCACGCTGCGTGTTGTCTTTGTTTCGGGTGCTTCCTCGGTTTGGGACGTTCCTCGGTTTGTTATCATTCCCCGGCTTGTTTTTCTTTCTCGGCTTGTATAGGTTCCTCGGTTTGTTGTTGTTCTTCGGTGTGTTTGTTGTCCTCGGTTTGTTTTCTTATTCGTCGTTGTCCTTTGCATCACAGCTTTTACTACAGCTATTACAGTTCTTACGAGAGTCAGTAGTGTAGCTCTCACCGCAGGTGTTTCCCAAATCCTACTACATGACTACTTGCAACAACTACCACATTTCTTACAATAGCCCTTACTACGGCCCCTCCACAACACCTGCTGCCCTGTTGTTGTGCAATTCATGTTGCCGCCCATACTACCGGTCCCATCATTGGACATGGTAAAGTTTTTACTCCAGGCAGTAGTGCAGCATCCGCTACAGGTTTTTTTACGACAGCTCCTGATGCAACATGCAACATGTATTCCAAATCCTACCATAGCTCGTATTGCACGTCTTATTGCAGCTCCTCGTACAGCTCCTACCACATCTCTTGGCGCAGCTGCTACCACAGCTCCTAGAGCAAAAACTACATTTCGCACCACCAATCTTATCAGATATCCTAGAACCGCTCATACGACAGTCAGGAGTGCAGCTTTCACCACATATCTCACTACAGTTCCTGCCACAGCTCGTAGCCCAGCATGTGCCACAGTTTCTAGCACAAGTCTTACGACAGTCCCTTTTGCAGTCAGGAGTACGCCTCTCTCGCTACAGCTTCTACGATAACCCCCGTCACAGTTTCTACTACAGCTAGTAGTGCAGCTCCGACAACGCCTCCTAGTACAGCACTTGCTTCACTTCTTCCTTCAGCTCTTACTGCAGATCAAATTCTTGACTCTTTCGCGTATCCCCACCAGTCCATCCAGCAAGGATGCTAAAGCGAGTTGCCTTGACCAGGACAGCGTAGACGCATGCAGTGGAACAGGTTTTCACCAGTCTGATCAGACCAAGGACGAGGACGAGGAGGAGGACGAGGATGATGAGGAGGAGGAGGACGAAGACGAGGTGGAGGACGAGGAGGGAGACGATGTGGAAGAGGAGGGCGAGAAGGAAGAGGACTAAAACGAGGAGGAGGAGGAGGACGACGACGACGACTGTGGCAGCCGTTGGGACCTTCAGGAGGCCCTCTTAGGGTCCTCTTGGGGCTCTCCCGCGGCCCTCCTGCGGCCCTCTTGATGCTCTTTTGGGGGGTCCTGGGGCTCTGTTGGAGCACTCTTGGGGATGGTACGCCTTGATTTTTGGGGGCCATTTTGGGGGGCGTCGGTCGAAGAGAGGGGGTCCGCGAATTGCTTCTCCCCCTGGGACCACGGAAATCGTCCCTTGGGGTCCTTTGGGGGCGCCCTTGGCCGGTCTGCAGGCCGTCTTGGGGGCTGGGGCTCCCTTGGGCGTCAAATCGCATGGGGCTGGGGGCTGGGGTTGGGCGGTCAGCCCTCAAATCGCATCAGCAACGAAAAGGCGAGAATGCACCTAACATGGATTTCCGATCGCCGTCTGAAGAATTCTGCCATACAGGGTCCGGCCCGGCTTGAATGAGGAAAGCATACTTCTCAAAAGGGGCTCGGTCGTTCCTTTGGTTTGCATGCGTTCCGCTCGGTCGTCGTTGGTTTGCATGCAAGTCGTGGCGGAGCGCCGCTAGAAAGGGGCTCGGCCGTTCCTTCGGACTTCGTAGACTTACTTTGAACAAAGGGGCTTCGTTCCTTATTTATCTTTCCTTAGGTCAGGCCGAATACTCTATTCGGGGAAGTTCTGCGGGGGGCTTCGGGAGCACTTGGAGCAGTCATGTGGTTCTCTTGGGGCCTTTTGGAGGCATGTCGGAAGCCATATGAGTCCATGTTCGGCTTGAGCCATCTTCGGGGCCATCGTGACGCATCGGGGGGCCCTCTTGGAGCCGTTTGGCGGAGAAGAACGCCATGACACATCGCAAAAGCCGAACAGGACAGCTTGGCGAAGGACCCAACCATGTGCAGCTGCGAGTACGGCGAGACTGGTGGAAACGAATGGGGGGGGCTAGCAAAGCATTAAGGCGTGCGTGAGAAGGACGGATCGACGTTGTTGATGGGGTCGCAGGGGTCAGCCGCAACGGGCTAAATTTGGATGCAACCCGCTACGGCTGAGATGAGCGTCTGTCGGCCCGGCTTTGGGGAGCAGCAGGGCGCGGTCTTGGGAGCAGCAGTCGGCAGGGCCCTTGGTGGAGCCCCTACAGGGTCAGGAAGAATGCGAGGGGTGTGCCAACATGGGCGCGGTCACGCATGCGATTCTTGCGCATTCGGTGGAGCTCCTTTGGGGGCCGCGAGGGGTGCGCCGAAATGGGCGCAGTCACCCGTGCGATTCCCGCCACTTGAGCCTTAGGCGGAGCTCCCTCTGGGGCCACGAAACGTGTGAGGGGTGTGCCGAAATGGGCAAGGTCACGCATGCGGTTTCTGCCAATGGGGCCTTCGGTGGAGCTCATTGTGGGGCCCCGTATGAGGGGTGTGCCGACATGGGCGCTGTCACGCATGCGATTCGTGCCATTGGGGTCTTCGGTGGAGCTCCCTATGGGGCCACGAAACGTGTGAGGTGTGTGCCGAAATGGTTTGGATAATGCATGCGAACGCAGTCGCTGGGGCCTTAGGCGGAGTTCCTTCTGGGGCCACGAAACGTGCTAGGGGTTTGCCAAAGTGGGGTGACGGCCACATGCGGGCGCAACCACTGGGGCCTCATGTGGAGCTCCCTTATGGGCCACGACGCGTGTGAGGGGTGCGCCAAAGTGGAGTGGCGGCTGAATGTGGGCGCAACCACTGGGGCCTTAGGTGGAGCTCCCTATGGAACCACGACGTGTGTGAAGGGTGCGCCAAAGTGGGGTGGCGGCGACACACGGTCGCAACCATTGGGGCCTTAGGTGGAGCTCCCTATGGGGCCACGAAACGTGTGAGGGGTGCGTCAAAGTGGGATGGCGGCGGCATGCGGGCGCGACCATTGGGAAGTGGAGATCTCTTTGGGGCCACGAAGCGCGTGAGGGATGCGTCAAACTGGGGTGGAGGCGGCAATTCGGGCGCAACCACTGGGCCCTGAGGTTGAGCTTCCTATCGGGTCACCACACGTGCGAGGGGTGCGCCAGAGTGGGGCGGCGGCGGCATGCGGGCGCAACCATTGGGGCCTTGGGTGGAGCTCCCGATGGGGCCACGAAGCGCGTAAGGGGTGCGCCAGAGTTGGGTTGCGGCAGCATGCGGGCGCAAACACCTGGGGCTATATGTGGAGCTTCCTTTGGGGCCATGACACGTGTAAGGGGTCCGCCAAAGTGGAGTGGCGGCTGAATGCGGGCGCAACCATCGAGGCCTCAGGTGGAGCTCCCTTCTGGGGCCACGAAGCGCGTCAGGGGTGCGTCAAAGTGGGGTGGCGGCTGCATGCGGGTGCACCATTGGGCCTTTTTTGGTGGAGCTCCCTATGAAACCACGACGTGTGTGAGGGGTGCGCCAAAGTGGGGTGACGGCGGCATGTGGGCGCAACCATTGGGGCCTTGGTGGAGTTCCCGATGGGGCCACGACACGTGTAAGGGGTGCGCCAAAGTGTGGGTGCGACAGCATGCGGGCGCAACCACCTCGGGCCTTAGGTGGAGCTTCCCATAGGGGCCACGAAACGTGTGAGGGGTGCGTCAAAGTGGGGTGGTGGGAGAGCAGGGGGAGGAAGAGAGGAGAAGCGAGGCCGCGGGGCCCTGCTGATTCAAAACGGGGACCGAACTCAACACAGGATGGTTGAGAAATTACACGGGACGTCGTACCCAACCTTTGCTCCGCGCAAGGCGCTATTTATATGAACGCACCATGCAAAAGAACACACTGCGCAATATGCAATATTCTGAAGTTCTTGACGCTTCGCGTATCCCCACCAGCCCCACGGCCACCTCTTGCTACCTCGATCCGTCGTTGAGGCGTGGATCTCCATGGTCGGGCAGCCCTCAGTCGTCGGTAATAGCATGAGAGTGCGCGTGGCCTCCCCTGGTCCGGCAGTTCAGGCGCTGACGGTGTCGAGTTCCTCCATTGTTCCGCTGGCTGCCTCGCCCGTGTCCGGCGTCTTCCGTGGCCGGACGCTCGCAGGATCAGTACTCCTCTCCGGAGTTTTGGCGTGCGATTTTGGTGGCGCCACCCAGTGCACCAGTTTGGGCCGTGTCAGGCACCCATGGCAGTCCCCCCAGTGTGCCGACTGGTAACCTCCCTGGACACACCCTGGCAGAGCGCCGCGCCATGTTGGCTGCGTCCCAACTGTGGTTGGCTAATTCGCTGCAATTCAATTCACACCTGGTGACCCTGCTCCCCGGTTGTCGCACGCTTGCAGCTCCCTGGCAGCCCCGGCAGCTTGCAGCCCCCGCCCCCGGCACCTCTTGCAGCCCCTGCGCTGGGGCTTCCCCCGGAGGTATGTCCTGCTCTGCTCCGCGCTAGGTAATTAGGCCCCCGCGCGGCCCGCTCGGACCTCACTCGCCGCTGGCGCTCTCGCCTGCGGCTGCTAGCCAAAAAGTATCCCCACCAGCCATCAAGAAACTGATCGCCAGGCGACTTGCCTTGATCAGGGGAGTGTAGAAGCATACAGTATAACAACCATATTGAACATGTTTTCTCGGAGGTCTCTTGGAGCCGCCTTGGGTTTCTCTTGAGGTCCTCGCGG